ATTGCAAAAATATTCTTTAATGAGATATTAGATTATATAAATTGCCAAAAATTATTATTTCAGATAAAGATATCAAATTTACCAATCAATTTTAAAAGTCATTATTCACTCAATTGAATACTAAATTGGCTATATCAATAGTTTTTCATTTATAAATTAATGGTCAAACTAAAAGATTAAATAGAACTTTGAAAGAAATGCTTAGAATTTTTATCACATATAAATAAGATAACTAGAATAATTATCTAGCTGTTGCAGAATTCACTTATAATAATAGTAAACAAGCATTCATTTAATATATTTCATTTGAATTATATTGTAAACAATCACCTTATATATCTATTACTATTAATACTAATAATAAAGTAATAATCTTTTAAGAATTTCTAGAATATTATAGCTCAAAATAGATAACAAATTAACATTATAAATTTGAAAAATTTGAAATTGATCAAAAAGTTCTTTTATCAACTCACTTTATTAATATATTTATTGATAAATAATGATCAATAAAAAAGTTAAATACTAAATATATTGGACTATTTAATATAATTAACAAAATTTTATTAGTTGCATACAAATTGAAACTTTTAAACAACATGAAAATGCATCTAGTTTTTATATTTTGCTACTAAAATTATATAATAAAGATAATAAATTTAATAAAATCAATATTATCATTAGCTATTATTATATTAGATAACAAAGAAAAATATAAAGTTGAAAATATTCTAAACAAGCACAAAGTGAGAAAATAATTATAATATCTTGTAAAATCAACTGAATATCCTTTATATAATTTTACTTGAAAATCTTTGGATAATCTCAAAAATGCAATGAAAAAAGTTAAAGCTTTTGAAAAAGTATATTTTTAATGTAATATGAATATTATCTTTTAAGTATGAAGGATAATTGTAATAATTTTTATATACTCTTGTAATTTCTTGTATCATATTCATTATTTTATATTACATTTATCATTTTTTGTATAATATATAAGAAATTAATACAGATTTACATTTAATACTTCTAATATTTCACTAAATAGATTAGATATGAAATATAAATTATATTATTAATTTAGATACACATTATTTTTAATTTTTTTTTATTCATTCTTTTATTTTTATATTTATTATTTTTAAATTCATATTAATTACTTTTTATTATTATTTATATTTCATATATATCTAATTAAGTATAGTATAACTTGAAGATACGTTATCTTTAAAATTAATAATTTAAAACCAATTGCTCTTTATTTATTATTAATTTATTTGTAATTTGTTAAATATCAAATTATATATTTAAATATCTCTGTATTATATTATAGTTCTTTAGATTTTTTTACTATTTAATAAATAAAAATAAGTTTTATTAAAATTAAAACTGAAAATTATCTCAATTAATATAATTTATTTATAAAAATTAATAAATTTAATTTAATATTCTTTATGTAAGAAAATATTCTTATACAACAAGTTTCAGAAAGCAAAGAATAAAATATCAAAATTTAAAAAGAAATCTTTTAATAAAGAAATTAGAAGAAGATAATAAAATAAATTATAATTCATTTATGGAAAGTATTCAAAAAGAGAAGAGATAAGTATGATAAATAAAAAAAATTATTAGTTTTTATTTAAATAATAATTTTTGCTATATTTGTTTTTGTTTTTAAATTAGATTTTTATCAATTTGATTTGAGTTATGTTTTAATAAATTTCTATTTTTATTATTACTTCTTTTTTATTAAATATTTCAATTCTTTTTTATTTAATATTTTGACTTTTTTTATTTAATATTCTGGTTTTTTTATTTATTATTCTAATTTTTTTATTATTAAATATTCTAATTATTTTTAAACTCTTTTTATTTAATATTCTAATCTTATTTTTCTTTTTTATTCAAATTCTGACTTTTTTTTAACTTAAATACTTTAATATTTCTCTATTATAATTCTAATATTTATTTATTATCAATTTTAATATTTCTTTACTATTGATTTTGATATTTCTTTACTATTAATTTTAATATTTTTTACTAAATATTCATTATAATTTTAATATTTATTATTAATTCTAATTAATATAAAAGTATTATATAAAATATTTAAATATAAATATATATAATTATAATAATAAATAATTTTTATATTAAAAAAAATTATCTAATTTTATTTATATTCTGCTATATTTACTTGTATTCTGGTTATATTCTGAAAAAATAAAAAAAGATTTATTTAACTTTTACTTGTATTCTAATTATATTTCAGAAAAATAAATAAAAAAATTTAATTAATTTTCATTTATATTCTGACTATATTTTAGAAAAATAAAAAAAGATCTATCTAAATTTAACTTGTATTCTAGAAAAATAAAAAAAGATCTATTTAAATTTTATCTATATTTTTATAGATCAAAATATAAATAAAATTTGAATGAATCTTTTTTTATAAAATATTAAATTATATTTCAGAAAGTATTAGATATTTTTTTGAAAATTTATTAACAAATTATTGGAATTTGAATTTGAGTTAAATATTAAAAACAAATAAAATTTCAAAAATTTTCAGACTCAAAAATAAAAAATTTTCAGAATTTAAAATGAACTATTTTTTTATAAAATTTCTTTTAATTTAATTTCAAGTTTGTAAGCTAATCTAATAGTTAATAAATAAACTTGTAATAATATTCTTAATTTAAATAACTAAATATTCTTAATTTTATCTTTTTTTATTATATGATTATATTACTAACTATTTTTTTTATTATAAGATTGTATTATTAACTTTTTTTTATTATATAATTATATTATATAATTATATTATTATAGATTTGTTTACTAATTATTAAATTAACTTATAAACTTGAAACTAGATTGAAAGAAGAAACAAAATATTAAAAGAAAAGAGAAATATCTATATCAATTTTTATAGAAATTGTAATAAAAAATAATATAAAAGAGTTATATAAGAGTAAAAATCAAAAAGAGAAAATATAAAATAATAAGAGAATAAATGATAAAAAAGATTTTAAAATACTAATTTTCTGTATTTGTATCATGCTTTTCAGAACTAAAATAATATAATTAGTAATAATAACTAAAACTCTTATACTTTGTTTTTCTTATAAATAAAAAATATTAAAATATCAAATTCAAAAATAATAAAAATGTAAAATAATAAAAGTTAAAATACTTAATTAAAATTAATAAATTTAATAATAATATTTTGTTTAATACAATATAATATAAAATTTATAAATTTATAAATTTAATAACAATATTTTGTTTAACACAATTTAAAGCTAATAATATTTTGTTTAGTACAATAAGATTTAAAGTTACTTATATATAAACTTTAATATATATAATTAAAAGTGGGAAAGACAAATATTATTTGAAAGATTTTTATTTAAAAGAGAATTTTATTTTTTATTTGCAATATATTAAGTTAAGATTCAAATAATATTTTGATTTATATATTTTCAAAAATATAATTTCAGATTTAATAACTATCTAAAAGTAAAATAATTAATTAAAAAGAATAAAATAAAAGATAATATAAAAAATAAGATAACTAAATGATAAATAAAATAAAAGATAACATAATATAAAAAGATAAAATAAAAGATAAAATAATAATAAAGATAAAAAATAAAATAATAATATCTATTAAATTATTTTTATTATTTTTCATATTTTCAATATTTTTAGAAATTTTTTATTTTTAAAAATTATAATTTTCTCAAATTTGTAAAATTATTATTACTACTATAATAATATTATCAATTTTTTCTTTTATTATATAATTATATTATTAATTTTTTATTATATAATCATATTATTAACTTCTTTTAAGTAAAATAAAAACAAAATGATATCTGTTTTGATATTATTTAATTGTTATTGCCTATTTTTTTGTTATAATACTAAGAAACTTTTAATAATTAATATTTGGAATTAATTTTAGCAAATATTTAAAAAGAGTGGAATACAAACAAATTTTTATAGTTATTACTCTTAGAAAAACAAAATTTGTAACTATAGAGAAAATGTGATTATAAAAAGATTTTTTTTACTATATTTATATATGAATAAGAAAGTAAAATAATGTAACTATAAACAGATGTAAATATAAAGAAATTTAATTATATAAGTATTATTATAAGCTAGTAATGGAGTAAAAATATTATAATATTATATGATTTAATATTAACTTTTATAATTTTTATTATAATAATATACATTCACACAGCAATATTTAACCAAAATTTTCTGTTTAATCAAAAATAGAAATTTTAACCAATCATAATTTTTGAATTGATCCAAATTATACCAGTTCAAATTCAAATTCAATTTGACCTAAATCTGAAACAGTTTTTTTTTTTAATTGAAAACTCGCAATCCAAACTGGAATTTTCAGGTTGAATTCAAATCAGGTTTCAAATTGACCTGAACTAATTGGAGCTTTACATCTATAATTGTAATTGATTTTTAAATCATATAACTTTATATATAATGTCAAATTAATTATTCTATTTAAGTTTCATATTTATGAAATATTAATATTTTGATTCATGTAATTACACTCAATATATTAAAGAAGCATATTAATGGCATGATCAACAAAGTAAAGCATGGCACACAAAAGAATTTGGAATCTTGAAAATTACAAAAAATAAAAATAAAGAGATTTTTTAGTGAAAAATTTTTGGGAATTAGTATAAAATACAAGTGATGTAGCAATTGATTTACTAAGCAAAGTTCAACTGATAATTGATAAATTATGCATATATCAATTAATCAAACTACATAATTTTTTGATTGTCCAAGTGATTTTCATATGATCGCGTTGATCGTGTGATATATTTACTACGTATCGGTATATGCATATCGATATACGTACTTAAAAGATCAACATCCTGTTATACGAACATGTATAAAATGCATGTACCAATCGTACTTGTTCTACCTAAACAAATATCTTTATCGCTATTGCTATGTCAAACATACAAATTCCAAATTTAAAAGCATTGACAGTATTAGAACCATATGCAACAAGCATCATTCACGGAAACAAAAGAATCGAGATGCGCAGCTACCGGCTCGAAATACCAAATAATGAAGGAATTTGGTTAGCAATTCACGCAGGTGGCTCAACACGCATTTTAAACCCCGAAATCTGTGCAACTATTCGCTTTACCCGATGGCCAGAATTACCATCAGAAGATCGTCTTCGTAAAAATTGTGGCAAAATCCTTGGATTGGCGAAATTTATCGCCTGTATAAAAGCCGAAGAAATACCTGATGATGAGGTTTGGAAAGATCATTACGGTGAAAAATTGTATTGTTGGCTCATTAGCGAGGTGAAACCTTTGAGCGCTCCAATTAATTGTAGAGGATTTCTGAGGGTGTGGCCTGTTGATCAGGAATTGGTGCAACAAATCATTAATGATGTTGGACCTTTTTCTTAAATTTATTATCATGTATGTTATATTAAATATACTGTACAATTTTATTTCTTTAACTAATCATAATTTGTCTTCTATTCTATGATTATTGTATTGAATACTATGATAATCGGAAATTTTTCTGTTAAAATTAAACTCAACGAGTACCGCGTAGAATTCTTGGATTGTACACTCTGTGATGTTATAAAATACACGAAGTTTTCCGTCGCATTAATATATACATGTATATTATAAAATATTGTTTGCATTATCGCATTTCTAAACTTTTTTTTTCAAAATTATTGCAATACTTTTTCATTCATCTTTTCGCTTGCGATTTGCAATTTCGCAAAATACTAAAAAGACAGGTTTTTTATAAAATACAAATTTTCAAGATGGGCTATAATAGGTAAAGGGGGGTATAATGGTGGATGGGAGGGTGTTGTGACGGGTCAAAAACATGCTTAAGCACATACATATTGACAAAAATGTAAAACAAAAGTAAAAAAAAAGAAATAAAATAATAAAATAAGTATTTGAATATTTTTAAAAGTTTTGTATTTTTTTGTTATTTTTGAATTATTTTAAAATTTATAAAATTTTTGTTATTAAATAATAATATTGAACTTGTTATAATTATAATAATATAAAATTTATTATTATAGCAAGTATATTTAAAATAAAATTCTTAATAACTTAAATATTAATTAGAGATTATGATTATAATAATAAATTATATTAAAAGATTATAATATATTTAATTATAGTTAAATCAAAAATTATTATTACAAGATTATTTACTGGTCTTTAAATAAGCTTACAAATTGATCAAGAATTGAAAAAAAAGAATTATATTTAAACAAAAAAGAAGAGTATTAAGTACTATATTAATTTTTAATTAAATTGTTATAATTTGAAAAATGAAAAAAAGTTATGAAAGAGGAAAGATCAAAGGGGAGATTGAATATAATGAAAAAAATTTTGAGATGCTAATTTTTTATATGTATAAAGTAATAACAAAGGTTCTTTAGCATTGTTCTTTTTATAAATAAAAAATATCAAAGCATTAAATAACAAAATCAAAATTCAATAACTAGTCAAAAACAAAAATACTTACTCTAAATCAAAATTCCAAAATTTATTAATATGTAATTGTGTATATTTGATTAATATTGAATGAGAAATAACGATTTTTAGTCTGATTCGAAATATTTCGGATCAGATTTGACACCAATCTGATCCAAAGTGGGGATCCACTAAAGCTAAGTAGTATCATGTGATTTTGAATTCGATCCGGATCCAGATCAAGTGAAAGACTTTACGTGCTAAGTAATGATTGGTTGAATAATTTTGATTAACAGACATAGCAAGATAGTTTCATGTGATAATAGCCAATACAAATACTAGTGTTGGCATAATGAGCTTTAACATTCTTTATTTAATTGTAGTTGACATTGTTCTCAAGACCATTTTCACCCAAAGACTCACATTTCATCTGAAATATTAACAAAAAACATAAAATACTTGCCAAAGAACCCACTGGATCCAGTTGCGACAAAACCAGCACAGAGAACTGGAGGAACTTTTACTAATCCTAGCCAACACCAGTGATCTCGGAAAAATACCACCAATTTTTGTGGTCCGAATACAAAGAATGTTTGTCTTGATTAAACGGATCAAACGAATCCGAGTTCGCAAAATTCTAAATACAGATAGCGAAATATCATTTTCGCACAAACCATCTGGCATTTTGCGATTTTTCATGCACTGACTTTGGATATTAATAACTCTACCAATATTGTCCTGATTTTGTTGATCTAAACATAAAAATATTCACCTTAATTATAGGGCAGCTATAGATCACAAAGATCTAATCATGTGTTCCAGAGGTATGGCGCTCAACAATACCGTATAGACCCGGTGCGAGACCAAAACGGAAACCAGTTGAAACTTGCAACACCACCAACGAAATAAAGAAACTATTAGGAGTTTGGCCGTCATTTTTGTTCCGCTGAAGTTGCGAATTTCTCCAGGTCGCGATCAGTTTCCAATTTGATTTCACATCAGTGGTGTTGTTAGTAAGTATTCGGCACTTCTTTTCATTGGTGGGTGTCCCAGCTAGAATTTTCTGGGTCAAACTACAAAACAAGATATTTATTTGTTTTTGTTTTGATAGTGATGATGTTATGCAGAATTTAGCTAATCATTGAATGTGCGGCAGATATACACACTCCTACAATAAATTACCGAAAATTTTTTCTGCGTAATGTTGATTATTTAAATGATTTAAATTTTTAACTTATATTTAAAGAAATTTTTATACATATAAATGAAAGAAAAAACTAAATAAAATAAAAGTATTGAATATGTAGTTATATTGGTTCAAATTTAAGAACCTATAAATTGATATGATGTGCTTTTTTCTTTGGCTTTAATAACCTTGTCTACATGATTAGATAGACTTAAAATTAAATTGCATAAGGTTTCTAGATCGATACTTACCCATTTCTCTTTTAATGCACTAATTAATTCTTGTTTTGATATAGGTAAAGGTCATCTTTTTCAAATTCAGCGGTCCAAAATATCCCAAAGGTGTTCAATCGGATTAAGGTCAGGACTTTGATCAACCCAATCTAAAAGTTGAATACTATGCGTTAATAGCCATCAAGTTGTATATATTGAAGTATGACATGGCGCTCCATCTTGCTGAAATATCGAGTTTGGATATTGATGAACCCAGAGTATAAAATAATTAGCAAGAATATTAATATAGATATTTGAATTCATAGTTTCTTCTATTAGTATCAAAGGATCAACTCCATCCTAACCAAAACAATCCCAAAACATCACAGATCCACCGTCAAACTTAATAGTAGGTTTAATACATTTTTGATTGTAGATTTCACTAGATTTTCACCATACTCTTTCTCAGTCATTTGATTTAAAAAGCGCAAATCTGAACTCATCAGACCAGATAATATTTTTCCATTATTCATCTCACTCACATTTCTCCCGGCACCAATTTAATCGATGAATTTCTTGTTTTGAAGTCAAAAGAGATTTTTTTCTTGGAATACGACTTCCAAATCCTATTTCATTTATGTATTTGCAAACAGTATTAGAATGGTGAGTAATATTAAGTATGTCATTTATTTCATTTGTAATTTCGCTAAGTGGAGAAAACCAGTTTTCCAAAACAACTCGTTATAATACATGTTTATCACGATTGGTTAGAACTTTTGGTTGACCAGGACATTTTTTAGGATGCAGAGAGTTGGTTTCATAGTAATGTTTAATGGTATCATAGACTGTTATTTGAGGAATTTTGAATTTAAGTGCAATTTTTCTACCTTTGACGCCAGCGAAATGAGCACCAATTATTTGTTTCCTTTGTTTGTTGGTCAATTTCTTTTCACGCATTATTAAAAAGAAGGAAAAAATGAGTTTTTTTTGTATGTACGTTTGTCTGTGTTTATATAAACAATGTCAATAAATTGGCTTTTTAAACTTTGGATCGATAATTTGTATGATCAATTTCTGGTAATTTATTGTAAGAGTGTGTATTATTATTTTAAGAGTTCTTATATTATATATAATTTATTTTTATAATTATTTTTTTAGTTATTTAATTTTTTAATTTAGTTTTTTTTATATTAGTAGATATAAATATAAAATTTAGATATATTTTGTTTATTTATTTAATTTTTTCTTTTAATTCTTATTTATATTTATTAACTAATTTCACAATTAGTAAAAAATATATAATAATATATTAAAAATTGAATTTAGAATTAGAAAAGACTAAAGAATATTATATTAATTAGTTTAATTAAGCTATTTAAGATATTAAAAAATCTTATACAAGAATAATTCTTTAAATAATAAGTTATTTGAAATATTAAAAATTGCAAAAATTAGAATATTACATATTTAATAATAATATTATTTATATTATTATTATTAGTAATTTTGATAAATAAAAATCTTTACTATATAATAAAGAGTAATTATATTTATATGAAAAAATATAAAAAAATAAGCAAAGTATAATATAATTTTCTAATATTATTATATATTATCTAAAGTATTAAAAAATTCACTAAGAATCTAATAAGTTTATTAAGAACTTAAGAAAAATCTAAAAGAACTTAAGGTATTATTAAAGAATTTTATAAAATATAAAACACAAAATTCTTTAATATTTGATTATTATTTTATTAAAAAGTATTTTGAGAGAGTAAATTGAGTATTAAATTAATACTATTTTTTATTAACTTTAAATTTATATATAGAAAATTAATTTTTTCTATTTGATTTATATTTTTTGTATATTAAAAAATAATTAAGATTTTTAATAAATTTACTAATTACAGAAATATTATTAAACTTTGATAATTTTTTTGTCTTTTTTAATTACAAATTCTAAGATTAATTTTATCTTCTCAAATAAATTTCAAGATACTATTCTCTGATTTAAGATATTTTATTTTATTAACTTTTGAGACCAATTCGCTTTCATTTATTAAATATTTTAACTTTGAAAAATTCGATTTTAGAATCTTTCTTTGATGAATTCTTTTAAAATAAATCTTTCAATAACTTTATTTTATCTTGAATAATTTTATTTTAAACTTGAATTTTTTAAGAAAAATATTTTTTAATTTGCAAATTTTATTTTTATAATAACTTCTTTTAGTTTAATTCCATTTATTTTTTTTAATTTTATTATTCTCTCTTTCAATTTTTTATTATTTTTTCTTTTTTTTCTTTTAATTTTATTTTTCTCTTTTTCAATTAAAATATTTTTCTCATTTTTCATACTCATTTTATAATTTAGTAATATAAACAAGTAATTTAGAAAAATTTTGAAGAATATTATATAATTTTTTCTTAAACTTTTATTTCTTTATTTATATATATTATTTATAAATATATAATAAAAAATCTATCAATAAAATTATTTACTTGTATTATTAAAAATAATATACAAAATATATTTTAAATATATATTTATATTCATATAA